AGGAGAACTAACACAACAGGGTCTGGATCCTGCAGCATGATAGCCATCTCACTTGGGGGGGGGTCACCTGCTGAGCAAGACAGGATCAGTGGTAATACAGCTGTTAGCTGCAAACATTTGCTTGGCATGACTCAATCCTGGACTCTCCTGTAGTTTGCTTTGATGGCCTCGCCCGGTATCTTGTTGACTAATGATGAGCTCATGCTTTGTTAAACTCACAGCATAAAGAAAACACCCGAGTTGCAAGCAAATCAGGCAAGATGCTTCCTTGGGCTTTTGACTGAAGTTGTTCAACCTAAAGATCTTTGAGCCCAAAGCGCTCCCTCTCTCCCTCTCCCCCACTGATCTCCCTCCCTCATTAAACTAGGGATGTAACTTGTTTGCTTGGGTGTGTTTGTTGCATCAACCAAATCTTCATCTTTCCTTTCACTGATACAGACCTCAGTATGTTGGAACAAATGTCAGATGTTTCATTATCTTCAGTTTCTGCCTGGGAGACTCTATATGGAGACAACAATGTGGTCAGCTTGGAACAGAAGTAACCACTATGGCTGATTTTACCTAGAATGCAGCCCAAAGCAAATCTGTAGCCCACTTCACACCCAAGGAAAAAGGCTTGTGAGCTTCCCTAAACATCATCCAGCGACTGACCGCTGTCTCAGGTTATTCATGCTTTGCCCCAGGCCCCTTTCAGTGTATAAGAATTGTCTTGGTGGAGGAGATCAAGGTTAGTCTAACCCTGATATACGCACAAACAAGGCACGGGAAGGAGGCCCATCCACTGGTTTTTGCGCCTGGTGTCAGGTATAATCTGAGGAGCACTGCCTTGGCACATGGAGGTTCTGCTTAGCTACCATGACTTACAGCAGCCTTTACTGATAGACCAATCCTCTTCCATTAATGTCTCCAATTTGTTTCTACAGCCATCTAGGCTTGGAACAGGACAAACACTGAAGGAGCAAAGAGAAGGAAGGAGGGATCCAGAGTCGAAAGCAACATGATGCTGAGATGCTGGTAAAAGACTCTCCTGCTCCACATATTCCCCAGAGGACTTTGAGGCATCTGGTATTGGGACTGGCATAGAGCCCCACCCAGACACTTCTAAAGTTGTTCCCAGACCTGAGATTCCATTTGGTTTGTTGCCTGAGGGCTCCCTGACATTACATTGCCGATATTCTGCTTTCTCTTCATCCTTGATAACTGGATGCTCATTTAACAAGGGGCAGAGAGGTAGGAAGGCAAGTGAAGCCATACAGGGGATGAAAACACTCAAGCAGCCCCAGGAATACCACTCCCTGTTCACTTCCCAAGGCCAATGCGATAGCACCCCAGAGCTAAGTGTTTGCTCGGAAGTAGGGGAAAGAGATTTTTGGAGATGCTGATGAAGCAGTAAAGATCTCCAAGGATGTGCTCTGAGGGGAGCTGGCTTCAGGCACCAGGCCCATTGGCAGGCCAACTCTGCTTTACAAAGATGTCTGCAAACATGACATGAAGGATGGCAACATTGATCGTGCCATGTGGGAATCCCATGCAGATAACCGCAGCACCTGGAGGTAATCAGTCTGATTGTGTATCCACAGCAGTGACCAAAGGACCTCTGGGAGGAGCACAGAAAGAAAAAATGCCATGGTGCATCTGCACAGGCACAACTGGACGCCTTCATCTGCCCCAGTTGCAAAAAAAATGTCTCTCCCACATTGGCCTCTACAGCCACAGCAGGCCATTGTGGCCATTTGGGCTAGTAGCCACTGAGAGTGTTATGCTCCATGGATTGGTCCAATTCCCATTCAGAAAAAGTACACGTTGGTAGCCATTGTACACCTTGCAAGAGTGAATGTCATCATTTAACTCTGACTTGTGCAGAAAAGTCCCTCCTTTAGACTGTCCCGAATCTTCCACCATTCAGCTTCATGGAATGATCCCATTTAGTTCTTGCACTATGGAGAGAAGGAGAAAAGCGTCCTTCTTTCTCCACACCCGTTTCTTCTACTTCTGAGGGCTCTGTGACTGATCTGAGGCTCAGCGGGGGGGGGGGGAAGCATGGAGTGTGGAGCACACATTTTGCTTTCCTTTCTCCCAAAGGCAGCATTTGGGCCTCAGCCTTGGTGCTTACAGAAACCAGCGTTTTTGCAGAGCTGTCCCTAATGAGCCATGGCAGCATGAAACACAAGCGATGGGGGATTGTGCAGAGAAGCGATCCATGACGGGAGGGTTCGTGTAAGAAGTTGCCTGCCTGCAGGCTGGGGGGGGACCGTCACCCCACTGCATCCCCACCTGGGAGAGGTGAGCCGTGAATGGGAAAAGAGGCGGGGTGCTGGGACGGGAAAGAGCACATCAAAGGCTCCACAAAGATCTGACATATGGTCCATCTCCCAATCTCCCCCACCACCAAACAGTCATTATTCAGGAGTTGGAGGATGACCAAAAAAAGTTAGCTGGCAATGGCCATGTTGTTTTACAAGCAGCAGGGCTGCAAACTCTTCATCCTAAATGCATGTGATTTATCAGCAAAGACTGAGATGCTACAGGCACTTGTCTGGGAGTGAGCTGGTCTGTGTTTACCAGAAACTTCTTCTGAGTAACAGGTATAGAATTGGGTGGCACAGATGAAAGACTTCCATGGGCCTCAAGTCCCCACTTTTCTGTATGTTTCTCCCTGCAAACTCCAGTACTCAGATGGGCCCCTGCTCCTGATCCCTCCACCTTAGGTGGTGAAGCTAAGGACAGGGCTTTCCTTGTTGTGGCACCTCCTCTATGAAACAGCTTGCAGAGCAAGTTCCTTCACAGTTTCAGGCAGCTGGCAAAGACCTGACTTTTCAAAAGGGTCTTTAGTTGTGTACTTTTTGCTATTTTTGTGTTGCTTGAATTTGTCAAAGAGGCTGGATTAGTTGCTTGTCCTATCAATTTCAATGTATTTTTTACATCTTTTAAAAGTCAATAGTGCATAAATCTGTGTTACTCTGTTTTTATTGCTGATTGTTAGCTGTGCTCAGTCTCTTTGGAGAAACAGTAAGGAGGTTTAAAAAGAAAAAGGTACATATTTTTTTAACAATTATACAGTATATACAAGTATCCCATTAGAGCACATGGGTTTCTGTATTGTTCATGTGAATGGGTATTGCACAGATGCACACAAATTATATTATACAGCTGAGACCAGGGATGTCCAACAGGTCGATCACGATCTACCAATTGATTGTGGGGCATCCCTGGTTGATCCTGGTCATTTGCGTGATTCTGATCTCCCCCCCCCCCCGAAAAAAAGCTCAGCAACTTTGGTCAATCCAATCCACTGTCAGTTTTTTATAGTGGGAGTAGATTGCAGTCTCTTGGGAGTTGACATGCCTGGCTTAGATGTCACAAAAGATGACAGGCTTGCTGTTCCCCACTCAGTGACCCTGACCTCCAGCTCTAGCCCTGACTATCATCCTGATCAAATACTGGAAACGAATAAATCTGTGTGCATTCATGAAAAGAAGTAGTGACTGGCAATTGGTAGCCCAAGCTGCAAACCCTGTGGTTCCAAACTAAGGTCTTCATTGGTAGAGTGCTGTTTGCCCCCACCAGCTGTTTGGGGGCCGAGATGTCCTCCCCAGTGTGGATGAAAAGCCAAGCCAGAAAAGATTTCAGAAGTTTGAGGCAGGCCTTACCAGGAAGCTTGTTTATGGGCCTGAATCTGGCAAACTTTGCCAGACTTTCTATTGCCTGTTAACAAGACCTCTTTTAATTTTCCTAAAATATCACTCGCTGCTCCCAGTTCCTGGAGGTGGCGGCATATAAATTTTGAAAGCAGGAGTAAACCCATTCTTCAGGTTGTGCAAGGGATATTCAACGGATACAAGCAGGAGAAAACAAAACATTTCCACCTTTATGTTAACAAAGCCAGGCAGCCTTCATTAGTTCTGAGAAGCCCAATGCTCTGCAGAACAGCTGATCTTACATTACTGGTTTGAAAGTGTTACTACATTGACTTGCTGTTACAAGAATTCCACAGAACAGGAAATAAAAAACAATATGGAACAGTTTACACTCGCGTTACATTAAAATGTTCCAGCTGTTCCCACTTTAGGTTCTTAGAGAATTGCTTTTTTTCATCTCTGTAACGCTTTTCACTTCCTATTAGTAAGGCTCTTAAAGGCAGGTATTGAGTTAGGACAAAATCCACAGCATTTTGAGTTTAAACGCCTATTAGAAATGAAAGCCCGCTGGAATGACGCTAAAAATTTATTTTGGCTACAAGAGACAATTCTGAAACCAAATCCATCTGTATTTTTTGTCCCGCAATCAGGAGTGCATCCTGCATGAGAGTCTCTTTAACTGAAATATAGGCCACATACAGCTACAAAATCTGTCAATGGAACTTGACTCTGTCTCTACCAGACTCTCCAGAATGCTCCAATATTGGTGTCAACAGGTAGTAGCCATCTGAGGAAGCCTTTGCAGGGTCTATAGCAAAGGGGCCCCACCTTGGGCACAATCCAGGGACAAGCTTATCTTCATTCTTTTTATTTTAATTTTACTTTTGTATGCTGCCTTTCGAAGAAGCACTCTTTCGAGGTGGCCGATGTATTAAAGTTCAAAACACAACACTAAACAAAGGAAACACCTGAAATCCTCTCTATGAAAGCTCATGGCCTGCAGCCACATTTATCTGTCTCTTCAAACCAAACAGGAGTTCCATTAAAAACAACAGCAACCAAGAGAAGCTCCACCTCTGTAAAGACCCTCTTGGGCAAAGGACTCTTCTTCAGGGCCTTTGGGAAAAGTGGAGCACGCCAGACCTCCAGAGGCTGATGGGTAAGGACTTCTGCAAAGCCCCACTGAAATGGGCAGGCCTGTGGCACATCTCCCAGGCAGTTCAGCGAGGACTTCCTGGAGGTGATGCTCTGCCCTGGCCTTAACTGGGAAAGCGAATCTCCACCGCAGGCACCAGCATGCCTTGTTGGGTGTACCATTTCCTTCTGAGGTGAAGCCAAACACCCTCTAGAGCACCCACTTACCTCGGTGGATCCAGTGAAGGCAATCTTATCAATCCCCACGTGAGAAGCAATCGCTGCGCCGGTGGTGGGTCCAAATCCTGGCACGATATTGACCACTCCGGGTGGGAAACCCAGCCTGTTGCAACAACAAAGAGAGGGAGGGGGAGGGGCAAGCTGTTTAGGGTGAATGGACCACACACAAGCCAAGCTGGGCAGCTCCCTGGATGCATCCTCTGACTCAGTGCTATTTATCTAGAAAAAGAGGTGCCAGAACTCACCATGAACACCTCCCTTGCTCTCTTAAAACTGAGTTGCAGAACTGAGTTCCGGCAAGGCCTGGCTCAAAGAAAGCCCGGCTCTGACCCCGCTGCTCTGCTCACCTCCTTGATGAGGGCTCCCATGTGGAGCGCGGTCAGCGGCGTTTGCTCTGCCGGCTTGATGACGATGGTGTTGCCGCAGCAGAGAGCAGGTGCAATCTTCCACGCAAACATCAGCAGGGGGAAATTCCACTGAAGGAAAGAATGCAGCCATTATTACTAAGGCAGCCACATGACCCAAGAAATCCTAACTGCTCGAGTCCTCTGGAGGGCAAAAGGGTTGCCAAAGGCGGTTTTAGCTTATCAGTCCACCAGTGATATTTATTTACTTATTTAGTCCATTTTAAAGAACAAGGTGGAGAACATTAGAGCTACATCAACCTGCTCCAATGTTTGCGTTCCTCTTCCCTCCCTGGTCCTTTTTTCCTTTTGTATCATGTCGGTTAGATTGTGCTTAGAAAAACTGTAAGTGCTCTGTAGGTGAACTGTACTCATATTAAGCACAGTAATCATGCAGTGCCAATGTGTCGTTCCACTTCTGCAGCCTGGAATGCCTCTGGTTTGACCAGAATACAAAAGCATCATCATCATCATAATCATTGTTTAAAAAATGAAAAGCAATCTTCCTAAAACTGGGCTTGGCCAACTGATGTCCTTGGATACTTTACATCTACTGTAACTATTGTGTGCTCCACATACAACATCCCACAATTAAATGTACACAGAAAAATCAAAAATCAAAGCCAAACTTCCTAAGTGAGGCTTTGCAGGTGTAGACCACGTTCCTCTAGCCTACTACTGTGTTTCCCATAGTGGCCAACTGTGCAAGGCATGAGGGCAATAAACCCTACCCCCACCCCGCTGCCTCTGAACATGGGGCTCCCTTTAGCACTCATGACTAACAGCCACTGATCTACTTCTCGCTTGTGGCTCATGGCTCTGTGGCAAGGGGTCCATCATCACTCTTGTGACAGCAAATTCCATCTGTTGGTTCTTCTGCTCTTTTCAAACAGGCACTAAAATACACGAGGCTCTGATATTCGTCAGAACTACTACTGGGGATATTTTGGCTAACTATTTGAATGATAACTTATTTAAACACCACTGGTAGGGGGTGTCACTAGGACCCCTATTGCTGTGCAGTCCTTTACAAACACAGATTAGAAGGCTTAGCTGTGCTGATTTTAATCGGAGCTGGCACTGGGCTTCAGGACTCTGGGTTGACCTTGGCAGTTTCCGAGCAACTTGCAAACGTTTGTTTTAAAATGCTCATTAAGTCTGTGGGGTTTTGTAGCAGCAGATTACAGTTTGAATGCTTCTGCGTGGACTCTCTGGTTTTAACAGTGAGAAGCCATTCCAAATCAAGAGACGCAGTTACTAAAGGGGAGCTGGTGCACTGTTGTGCCACTTTAATGGGGGACATGATGGACTTCTTGTAGGGATGCAGACCTTGGCCTGAGTAGCACAATCCTTTGAACTCTGTGGGGCCCTGAAGTTGGTGGATATAGCAGAGATGCCCTCTGCAACCTGAAGCTATACTGGATTATGCACTCTCCCCACCTCCCCAGTCATGCAATAGAGGTGATGGAAGTCTGTGGCCTTTGCGTTTCCTCTTTTCCTGCTCTGAGTCTGAAGCTTTGAATCCTGGAGAAACCAGCTAGACCAGCTAGATGTCTCTGCATCAGGAGCAGGCACATCAACCAGGGGCATCAGATACAAAACTGCCCGGGGGGGAGCTGTTCTTTCTGTCACACAATGGAAGCTACTCTGTGCTAGTCAGGGACATATGCACCTTCGCACCTGCCCTTCCAGACCAACAATAAATATGACGGACTAGGTGGTGGAGGTCTGGTTGGAAAGACAAGCTTGCCCTACCCCTGCCTAGCAAAATGGCTGGACCAGTGGCATAGCGTGGGGGGTGCAGGGGGGGCCAGCCGCACCGGGCGCAACATCTGGGGGTTAGGGTTAGGGTGCGCAAATCCACGGGTTAGGGGGCGCAAATCCATGGGTTAGAGGGCACAAATTACTTGCCTTGCCCCGGGTGCTGACAACCCATGCTACGCCACTGGGCTGGACTGAGCCAGCTCTAGCAGTGGAAGGGTAATCCAGATGAGGAGAAGATGTTATATCCATCTCCAGGGACCCTCTCTGGTGGGGGGCACTCCTCTTCAGCAAACTCCTCAATAGCCCCTTTTGCCCAATGGAAGGGACCAGTTCTAGGAAAGTATATTATATTGTGGAGTTTTCTGCCCTGTTTAGGGCAAGAAGGAAAAAGATGAAGAACCTGAAAATTATCCTCCCTGGATCCCTGTTACGCTGCAGTTTGGAACAGGAGAGATAAAAAGATCCTGCTGGATTGAAAGGGGGGGGCTCCACTTCCTCCCCATTGTGCAAACATCTCAATTGGCTGACAGCCGCCTGATGCTAATGCCGTGTTTTGCTTTGCTCTCTCCAGTCCTGGGAATTCTGTGACTGGAGGCCTCACCTCCCTAATAATGCAGCTCTAAAACTCTATTAGGATGTGCAAATAAGCACTGGTAGGGCGGCTGTTAAAGATATGTCAACAATGTGCGCTCAGTTCCGCCTGCCTCCCCCCTCACCCCATTGCCCGGTCTCCCATAATGAAAAACACGCCTTGCTGAAGCCTGGGGCTTATGGGCCTTTTCAAGGGAGCTCATTCCAGTGAAAATAAATATGAGGTGCGAGCACAGATACTCACAGGGATGATCTGTCCACACACACCGATGGGCTCATGTCTTGTAAAGGTGAAATAATCTCCGTCTGAAAGAGAGGAGCCTGGTTACTCTCAGAAGCACTTGGGCCAGGCAAGCCACACAAAAGGAAAAGAAAATCCAAGCGGGAAGAGGTTGAGACAGCTTTGATGGGTGGGACTATATATTTTTTAAAGCTACCAAAGCATTACTGGAGAACATTCAGCCTGGGAACTTTGGAAGCACCAATTCATTTGCTGTGTACTAAATGAATGGATCACAGAATCACAGAATTGTGGGGTTGAGAGGGATCCAAGGGTCATTAGTCCACCCTTTGCAATGCAGGATTTACAGCTAAGGCATCCGTGAGAGATGGCCATTCAACTTCTGTTCAGAAACCTCCAAAGAAGGAGAGTCCACCACCTTCCCAGGTAGCCTGTCCCACTGTTGAGCAATGCTCACTGTCATTAAGTTCTTCCTTCAGCGGTGCTGCTTTGACCCCACAGTGTGGGTGCCATGAACCTTGAGGTGCGGCGCATGTGCATGCTCCAATGCCACATCGGCAACTGAGCTGGGGCCTGCACCACAGACACACCCCAGAAGCATGTCCATGGTCACAGCAGAAGCGCAGGCCCCGGCCCAATTGCTGCCGTGGTGCTAGAGCGCCAGAGATAAGGCAGCAAAGTGCAGGGCCAGCATGCGAGGGGGGGGGGCAGAGGGAGGGCACCCACAGCAAAAGTTTTGTGGGTGCCTAGGCCCCCTGGAGGTGGCACCAGTGTTCCTAATGTTTAGTCAGAGCCCCCTTTCTTGTAATTTGAATCCATTGGTTCGGGTCCTACCCTCTGGAACAGGAGAAAACAAGCTTGCTCCACCTGGGCTTCCAGAATGTCTTCCTTTTGGGTGCTTATCATTCTGCATCAACTCCCTAGCTAAAAGGTCCACGTTCATCTAGTTTTTACTTGATTGTGATAATGTTTTCTCTTTCTTTTTCTTGTTTTGATTGTGAAGTTTGTTTTACTGTTCAAAATTTCAATAAATATCTTAAAAAAAAAAAGGTCCATGTTCATCGGCCACCAAGTTCAAGTGTTGCAGAAGAGGCTCTGAGGAGCTTCTTCCAGGGTGCGCAGTCAGATTGCAATGCATGCCAGGGTGATGCTGCTGGCTTTCCTTGCTGCCTCATCTGAACTTACAGAGTGCCCCACAGAACAGACCCTATTGCCTCTCCCCTCTGCGTGGTGATGCATTTCAGCAGGGAGGAGAGGGACGTAAGGGGAGCCTGGGACTGCCCTACCATTAGACACTGTGAGACAGCTGCCTCAGGTGGCAGATGCTGAGGGGTGTGTGTGGAGCAGAGTGAGCTGTGGCTGGCACAACACCTGTCCTGCACCCTCTGAGCTAGCCTTCCCTAACTCCCTATGGTGCAGTGCAGGATAGAATCCCATCTCAGTACTGAGATGCACTCCAACAGCTTCTCTACACTGAATTTTTTTTTGGGGGGGGGACCTCCCCAGAGCCAGAGCCAGAGCCCTGCCAGATCAGACCAAGGATCCATCTAGCTTTCTTTTGCCCACAGTGACTAGTCAAACACTTGCACAGACAGGGCTTGAAGGCAATAGCTTGCCATAGGTAGACTTCCTCTGAATATGGAGGTTCTGGGTAGCCCTTGTGACTAATAGCTATGGGTCGCCTTATCCTCTTCCATGAATTTATCTAATTCCCTTTAACTTCTACAAGGGACACTAGGCAGGCTCAAGTGGATCAAAAACTGGGTCTCCCACCTCTTTACATTTTTGGCAAATGCTAACTATAATGTGAGTGGATCCTCATTGGTCTCCCCTGCTTCAACAACCACGGCTCCCAATGCGTACAGAGAACTCGGGGGGGGGGTGCTTACATGAATTTAGCTCCAGTTTGGGCTCAGTTCCCACTGCTAAATGAAAGCTCTTTGTGGCTGGGTGCCCACAACTGATTCACTAACTTTGCAACAGCTGACAGCGGAAGCAGTTTTGTGTTAGCAAATTAGCCATAACAGCTTCCTTTCATCATATAATATATAAAACTTATGAAAGTTTAATAAGCTGTTTAATCTCACACTGAATCCGCATGCACGTATCAGGACAGCTGCCAGATTCAGCAGCATTTGCACTCTGGATAGGCAGATTCTAGAGGGACTGAAGGAAGACAAGCAGGAAAAGGGGGAATTTGGTGTCCAGGTCTGGGCCCTTGAGCCAAAGGGCACCCTCTTCCTTACTCTTAACCTGCAAAGGCTGGAGGGTGGGTGTGCTGAAACGTGACAAACAACAATGTACAATATATATATATGCACACTTAACAACATTTTAAGAAACACCCTTCCCTCCAGTCTCCCTGAAAAGCAAAACTGGGTCAGGGATTTTCCAGGGAACCCCAAAAGAGCAGCAGCGTGTAGGATCACCAGGGCTAAGTCCATTAGAAGGACCTTCTGGATCAGTGCCAAGGGGGCTGGGCAGGCACGGTGGGCTCCATTTGTCTTCCGCCCCTCAGCCCACCCCCAGCAAGGGAACGAGCGTGCACCCACCCACACAAACACACACACGAGCGGTATGGAGACGCTCCGCTGCTGTTGTGACCAGAAACGGGAAACACATACAGAGATGCAACAGGCAACCTCCTTCTCAGTGAGCAAGTCTCTTGTCCCCATTGGGAAAAGTGAGTGATCCAATCAGACCCAATGCAACATCACCTCCACCAGCAAAGACTAGCTGGTGGGAGAGCAAGGAGCAAACAATGAATTTCACGGAGAGCTACAGTGGGCAGCCTCCTATTCTCTCTGTTTGGGCACACAGGAGCCTTTGATTCTTTCTTTCCTTGCTGCCTTGTAGTTCCACACTGGTACCTCTCACAGCAGCTTTTAGGGGTTCCTGGAGTTCCCCACAGGCTTTGGATGTGTCACTCGCTCAGTACGCCAGGAGTCCGCAGCTAAGGCTGGCAAGGGACACATCAAGATTTACTGGGGCTGGTTGCATTTTGGGGAGGCATCTGTGCAAACATCTGGTCATAATAAAGGGATGAATCCAGAAAGCATCCTGGTTTCTAAACATAGTTTTCAACTTGACTTTGATTAGAAACAAGCCCCTTCTCTAGCTTGCTGAATTTCTTCACCCTGTTCCGTTTGCTCCACAGAACGGGGTGGGGTGAGTGGGAGAAAGACAGATCAGTGCGGAGCTCCAGACTGACCAGCTGGGGATTTGCTTTTGCTCCGTGTGATGTTTCCAAGGCCCTGGAAGGAGACTAATAAAGATAGGGCCGTTATCAGTGAAGTGGGAGCAAGGAGGAGCCGATAAGAAGCAGTAGGGACAGGAAATAGGAGAAGGAGAGAGGGGAAAAGATTGGCTAATTAGTAAAAGGCGCAGACGATGAGACAGAAAGAAAACATTCTAGCTAGACAGAGGGGGCTGGCTTTTTGTGCGTGCAATAAACCCCCGCTTGTGCAACTTGGAAGCCCTAATTCTGCAGAAACCAGGGAGATCCCTTTTAACACATCTGCTCAGATCACACATCATTATCAGGTTTTGAGCAGTGGGCACACAGAACCTATTCTGCTCAGATAATCTCATCTGGGAACTGGGCAAGCTGAAGTCTCTTCCTGGAACAGCACAAAGGCCTCCCAAATTACAAGAAACAATGATTTGGGGATTATTTTCACTTCCTTTCCTGTTCCTGAGACAACAGGAAAGATGGTCGATGTGTCAGCCAGCCACCTTCTTATTTTGCAATGTTGAGAACTGAAACCCCCCCCCCCCCGAAAAAGAAAGGAAACTTGGATTTTTTTAGAAGTCAACAGAAGGGCCAGTCCTGCGAAAAAGAGAACATTCTGAAAAAGGGGGGGGGAATCTCAGGAGCTCCTTTCGAAATGTGACTTTAAAAAACAACAGGCTGAATCCAGCTCAAAAAAATACATCTCTGTTGTGAGATGACTTGCATTAGACCCTGTCTGGTCTTAGCCCATGGCTGTCTCCTCATCCGTCTCCATCCTGGCATGTCCTCCATATCTTCTGCAGCTTGCAGCATGGCTGTGCTGTCCAGGGCTGATGGGAATTGGAGTCCAAGAACACTGAGAGGTCACCAACCTGTGGCCTTCTGCATGAAGCATGGCGGTTCTGCTGCCACTGAGGCAAGGCCCATCTCCCGACACGCCAAGGGGGACGCGAGGGTACTGCTTGCAGGTGAGTGGTTCCCAGCATTAGTTAATCATGACTTTTCCACTGTATTATCAACATTGCAGATGACCTTCCACACTACCAGGAAGAGAGGATTCTGGGTTTCCCTCCCCCAAATGCCCACATGGCTGTTTGCCAACCACATGAGTGGATGCAATGTAGCTGGTGTGGGTGTTGTTTGTAGTGCAGCACACACTCACTATAAACCTTGTGGTGGGTGCAGTGCCATTGCTATTGGGGTGGGGAGCTAGCCAGGGTTTTTGCCCCAGGTGAAGACTCCAGAAGGGTGCCATTGAGGCTCCCAGCCTGTATGTGTTTGGGCGCAAATGCACATAGCGGGGGATACCCAACTGGGTCTTTGACCCGGGTGAAATAAAACCTAGTTTCGACCCTGGGTGGGTGCCATTTTATAATCTCATCAGTTTTTTTTAAAAAATGATCTTTTAATTAGTGCTAGAACATTTTTCTGGCTTTGCCCCAAACCCCCATGACAGAAAGAGTTAGTGCTATAGGACTTTAAGGGCAGGGGAACCAGAGACCAAATTGCAAACATGCGCTGGATTATGGAGAAAGCTAGAGAGTTCCAGAAAGACATCTACTTCTGCTTCATTGACTATGCAAAAGCCTTTGACTGTGTCGACCACAGCAAACTATGGCAAGTTCTTAAAGAAATGGGAGTGCCTGATCACCTCATCTGTCTCCTGAGAAATCTCTATGTGGGACAAGAAGCTACAGTTAGAACGGGATATGGAAGAACTGATTGGTTCAAAATTGGGAAAGGAGTACAACAAGGCTGTATATTGTTTCCCTGCTTATTTAACTTATATGCAGACTTCATCATGTGAAAGGCTGGGCTGGATGAATCCCAAGC